GGCGGGTATGGGGGCGGGGGCGGGGTGGGTATTAACATCTCCGCCCCCGCCCCCAATTTTATCAATTGGGGAAAACCCAAACCCGAATCCTAACCCGATAAACACGGATTTTCTCCATCCAAATCGGGGCGGGTTCGGACGAGTACCCATGGGACGAGTTAGATTGTCATGCCTAGTTGAGAATACATTTATGGATGTTTTGACATCATGCCTTTGTTTTATCTCTCAAAAATGAAAAGATATAATATTATAAGTTAAAATATATTTTTAAATTCTTTACCTTTTCCTCTAAAAAAAAAAAGTTCTTTACCTTTTAAAAGATTAATTTTAGTTATTTAACTTTGAAATTTGACTTAAAGTTGTCCTTCTAAAACAGTATTGTATTCAATATCATGGTTGCATTGTCGAATTATTTTTTTTTTAATGGATTCACGAGGTGAAATTTTTTTTATTAAATTTATTGACATAAAAAATTATGAAACTCAATTGATGTTGGAATTAAAAGGACCTTCAACATAGTAAATAATCATATGAAAAGTGAGTTTCACGATGTAATATCTTATTAAATAAATTTTATTAAAAATTATTGAAAAAGAGGTATTTCGTATTTCTATAAATTTTGTTTAAAAATAAATTAAAATTAAAATTAATAGAAGTTATAATATGTAAATCAAGTGAAATAATGGATAATTAATGAAATAAAATAATGTTAAATAAAAAATAGTGATTAAATATGGTTATAAAATAAGTGAATAGCTATTATTGATAAAGTCTATAATTAATTTTTGCATACATATGTTTTTTTGCTTAATTATGATTTTGATTTCTTAAATATTGTAATTGTTTAATTTTGATTCTCAAGGTTTTAATTTTGTAATTTTAGTTCCTCAAATATTATAGTTGTGAGATTTTGGTTTCTCAAATTTTAATTGAATAATATTAATTTTCAAGTATAGTAATTATACGATTTTAGTCTTTCATATTAAAAATTTAATAATTTTAAAATTTTAATGTATATATATATAGATATAAATTAATATATATTAATATACTTTTAAAAAAATATGAATATATTAGATAAAATAAATATATTAAAAGAAAGTTAATTAATATGTTATTCTTTAACACATCAAAAAAAAAATTATTAGATTTTTAATAGGAGAGATAAAAATCCCATAAATGTAGTATTTGAGAGACTAAGGGGGGTGTATTGGATTAGGAATTTAAAGGACATTTTTAGTTGAAAAAAGTCTTGTAGATTTTAAAAGACTTTTGCAAGATTTTCATGACTTTTAAGATTTTGTAGGATTCCACAAGACTTTCAATCACGATTTTAATGGATTAAACAAGACTTTTAAGTTAAGATTTTAATGGATTTCTGCGGGACTTTGTGAACTTTGCATAATTTCATAAATTTTTTACATAGGATAAGAATTCAAGATTTTTTTTCATACATTCAAATTTAAAAAGAGTCAAATATAAAATAATAATAATAATAATAATGTCTGGATAAATAATAATAATAATTTTTCGTAATATCATGTTGTTCTAAATAAAATTCATCCACATATCCATAACTATACTAGTCCTCCAAATATTAATATCTTTTCATTCTTGCTCCTATTTTTTAATAATAGGCTCAAAATTATGATTTTCATTAACCAGTAATGTTGAAGATGAAGGTTCGTCCATCATTTCAATTGAAAATTCATCATAATGACATTCTTTACGAAGAAAGTTATGTAGTCCTACACATGCTAAAAATTATTCTAAACAATATTTCAAATTTTTTATAATTTGTGATTTAAAATATTTTATTTATAATTTTATAAATGATGAAAAAAATAGTGGGATAATTACCCTACTCTCTTATAACTAAATATGTCCCTTCATTTTATATCGGTACTAAAGTAGAAATTTACAAACATCAATTGGGAGAAAAAAAATTTCTGAAATTTGTTACAGGTACAAAATATTTTTTTTAATTTTTAGTTTCTTTCAATTATTCACTCGTAAATAAATATTTTTAGTATTAAATTCTAAAATACTGTAATGTCTTATGTTAATTTTCTTTTTTAAAATATAAAAATCCTAATTTCACAATATAAAAATTAAAAAAATAAAATTCATAGTAAAAAAAAGAAATAAAATAATTGTTGAGTCATAAAAGGGGAATGATAACAATAACAAATTCAAGAGAGGGAGAGAGATCGCAGTTTTTGTGCTGAGAGGGTTCTTCCCCCAACTAAGATCAATTCTTATCTCATTCTACTTACAGAAATCCTAACTCAAATTCATCTTTTACACACACACACACACATATATATATATATATATATATATGAGGGTTCAAACGAACACACACACACACACACATATATATATATATTGTTCTAATAAATCTAAATTGATTACAAGGTCTTGAAGATCTATAGTTGATTATAGAGATCATGATATCAATTTTAGCTTTCACCTTCCCCTTTGACGCGTGTTATAAAAAAAATTACTGAGGAACAATTTCAAGTGTTATAGTTAAAATTTCAAGTGTTTTTTGTGTTATATAATTGAGAACAATCTCAATTAAATAGACCAAAATAGAGCAAGTCAATTAAAGAGAACAGAAAGAAAAATAGAGCAAGTTAATGACACTATCATTTATGAATAGAAGTTTCACCCAATAGGGGAATGAAATGGGAACAGTAGTACAATATTATATATAAGTAGTAGTCCAGTATTATTAACAAGAGAAAAAAAATGGAGAAGACATGAGCATAGAAAAAAAAGAGAAAAACTCACTTGGAAATTCTTGAAGCACTTGAAAAGTCACTTCAAACAATCCTCCAAAATCTTATGGGTTTGGATAGGATTGTTTTATGAATTTGGTATTTGTAGATACCACTAAAAATTCCATCAAAATCCCTCTAATATAACAATCTTTTAAAATCCCTACATTTTTGAATACCAATGAATTGTTTTTAAGTTGTAAAAAACTTAAATGAATACCAATGGATTTTAATGGACTCTTTAAAAAATATTGAAAATCCTGATTGAATACCACTGAATTGTTTTTAAGTGACATAAAATCCTGATTGAATACCAACAAACTTTTTTACTCAAAAATAGTCTTTTAAAATTTTATAAAATCCTAAACCAATACACCCCCTAAATTCAAAATTACATAACTACAATACTTAAAGACTAAAATTGCACAACTGTAATATTAAAGAGAC